CCCGCGCGGGCAGACGGCGATCGGAGTTCTCTTGAAGAGCACCGTTTGAGTTTGTGTTTCTTCGCTGTGTTTTGAGTCTCGCTGGCTGCCGATTCGGGCTCCCCTACGCCCTACCTCCCTAGCCGGATAGGGGGGTCTCTGGACTGCGCCGCCTCTCTCGCGTTGGCGTGGGACCGAGGGCTCCCAGCCAGATAGGTAGGTAGAGGTAGTAAGGTGTGTAGACTCCTGGCACTTGCTCGATTGCTCGGCCCGATGGCCCACGCCGGCCGGCCGGCAATACATAAAGTGATAGTTTTCGCCATTTTTGCTGCGCGGCCTGGGGGAGTTGATAGGGTGTAGAAGACAAGAAGAGTGGCCGGTGGCGGTGGGTCGCGGCGCCGATCTCGCCAATCTTGTATGATTTGGGCACGTCAGCCACGCTCGCTCGTCCGGCCATTGTCGAGCCGATCTGCGAGGTGCTCACGAGCGCACGTCTGCTCAGGCGGCGTCCAGCGCGCTCGGGGTTCGGACGGCTCTTCGGCCCAAATTTAAAACTTCTCGGCCGCGGGCACGACACGCGTGGATTTTCTTTGGCATATCAGAGGCATCACACTCAGAGAACGCGGCGAGTAACAATTCACTCGTTGTGGCGTTGGTTTTCAAAAATCTCTCTCTCACAACAACATCTCTCTCGATCTGTAGCGGGTTGCGAGAGAGATTTTCGGGTTGCGAGAGTTCAACAACAAAACACGCTCGAGAGAGAGAGAGAGGGAGGGAGAGAGCACTTGGAGAGAGTCGATCAGTTGTCTTGCGGAACCTCGTTTGCACTTGGAGCACTTGGAGTGCAGTTATCAACCTCACATCCAGGGCCGGGGAGCTCAGAAGCGCACCCAGCGGGCCGGATGATCGGGATCGGGTTACGGGCTAGAGAGCCCTAGCCCCGGGGGTGCGCGTTCGCAGGGAAAGGGCCTTAAAGTAAACACGGGTCTCCGAGGGTTGGTTCCGTGTACCGGGTTTCCCCTTAACTTCAGAACGCCCCCTCTACTCGGAGCTAGCAGACACGACACTGTACACCACGCACGTGCACAGGTCCTCACTCAGCATCCCGTCCCAGGGTTCCACCGCCCGCCTTCCCGGGGCTCCGGTTCTCCCTGATTCGCTCTTTTATTCGCCTGCCGAGCGTCGCCTGACGGCCGCTGTAGCCGTTTCTGATGTCTCTTCTTTGGCCGAGGTCTCGCCTCCGCCTCACCTCCGACTGGTACTGCCGCCTCTGAGAGCATCGACTGCCCTGCTGAAGTTTCCCCGGGCGAGGACGGTGGCATTGGATCGTGTCGCCTCCCCTCCCCGGGAGGTCGGGCCCGCTCTCCCTGGTCGACGAGTCGCGCCCGCACCCGCGGCCTCTCTATCGTCCCGGGCGGCGCGTTTCTCTATTTCGCTGATCCCTTTTAGCGGAGTGCTCCGCGCTCTACTCTTCGCGATGGTGGGCAGGCCTTCTCACAGGCCTTGCCCTACCTATGGCAGCTTCGAGCAGGGCGAGCTGGAGAGGCTCCGCGCCGCCGCTGACGAGATGAAGCAGCTGTTTCCTCCGGGCGCGCAGCACCCGCTGCCCACGAGACCAGAGCCAGCTGAGCCCGGGGCGCGCGCCGGCGAGCAGCAACGCAGCCCAGAGCAGCATGACGGAGCGGCGAATCCGCGCCGGCGCCGCTCCGGCAGCCGCAGCCCCTCCGAGCTCAAGGCGCGGGCCACGCCTCCACATGCGGAAATGCCGTCCCCGGCGGGACCGAGCCAGCGGGCGGCAGACGGAGTGGGGAGTGCACCCTCGGCAGCTGCGCTCGCTGTGGAGAGGCCGCCGACGGACCGCGGCAGCGCAGAGCCCTCGCCGCCGCCGCCGCCGCCGCCGCCA